TGTGCACGATTTTCCCAGGGAAAAAATGCCACTGCACGAAGAGCCTTGGATTAGTTAGAGTTTCCTCGCAGAGTAGCTTTAAAGTAGAGCAGTGGTTCTACTACAGTAGGCTTAGATTGAAAGTTTAAACGTCCTATAAACACTTTCAACGTAACAACCTATGCAAATGTTTACAGAAGACTAGCAGAGGATTAGATCATCAACACAGCTGTGACAATCTTGTAGCTCAGCTGACTAATAAAAAGTGCGCAATGATAAAAGTAACTTTCTATGGAAATGTTTACAGAAGACAAGAGAAGGATGTAGCTGGTAAAATCACTCAAATCATCAACACAGCTGTGACAATTTTGAAAACTGCATCTAGCATGAGCATTGTGAAGAACATGCAGCAAACCAGCCGCTACTAAACATGGTGCATAAATGTACCTGTACAAGGAGAGGGTTAAGCATTACCACTGTTTACAAATGGATAGTTACCAGAGCACCGTGCAGTACACTAAGAATCTAAATGCAGTCGTTGATAATAATCTTAGATATGTACATATTATTCATTCAGGCAAACCTGACTCCAAAAGACGATGTAGAGGACGATACTCTAGAGGCAATGCCAAGAGGGTAGAGACACGATGCATCAGAAATGGCATCTCCTGGTGACCCTGACGAAATCAAGTCTTTCAATCCAGAAAATGAAGACAAATCACTATGAGTCAAAGGGGACATACGTTTGTGACCTAGTGGGTACGCAACGCCGTCGGAGAAGAAGTGACGATGGCATCAAACAAGGGGAATATGTGGAAAACTCGCTCTTGGCATTCATAAATAAAAGTAAGTCCATTGGTAGCTACAATTAAGCTGCACCAGCATTAAACTGTCCACTGATAAGAATGTAGCTGTAAGTTTAAAGAGTCAAAGCATTAGTAGAATAGTTTGTAGCAGGAAACTCGAAAGCATAAACAATACTCGTGCAGGCTTGCTCCTGATGAACTGCATCTAACAAGTGCAGCTATACCTTAGTCCAAAACTTAGATTCGCAGTATAATTTCATAACAGAAAGCTAAGGTATTAGCCTCCTTCAACTCTGCAAGAGACAATTATTATTATACTGGAATGTGATTTACTATTATTAGCTACTTATTCATCAAGAGTTTTATGCCCAAATATTTCAGCTCACAAAGCAATGGAGAAGATGGTTGATTTACGTCATGAACTTGGGGACGACGTGACACATTCGTTGAGGGAGCTACACAAAAACACAAACAACACTGAGATCGGTATGCCTCTAATGTTACTTTATTTAACCACTGAATATTTACACAGGATTATTCTAACCCAACAGCGCACAATATTGAAAGTCTGGTGAAGCTAGAAGCAGAGTATGGACCACTACCACAATATTACCCAGCCATTGACAATGTATTGGATTATCTGAAAGAGGTATACTTATCCATATAGCATTGGCTTTTTGGACATTATGGTTCTGTCCATGTAGCTTCATGGATCAATTGTCCGTAAGGACATCAAGATGAGGTTACTCCTATACTTCATTATCAGTCCGGAAGGAAGTCTGCGATCGCAAATGGTACGAACTCTAATACCTCTGGTGTGGCTTTTAATTTCATTATCTGTATGTATAGGCTCTGCTCGATGCCCTGGAAACTGCAGCCAATGACGATGAATTGGAAGCCATCGTCATGTACATAGCAATGGTGGCTAATCCGCAGCCTCAAATGGTCAACGAACTCGAGAAACTCATAACGTCTGATGTTCACTCCACTGACCCACTCCTCTTGGCTTACGGCGCCATTATTCCCAAAACTTCTCCAGAACTCCACCAGCGAATGGTTCTCTTCCTCGTCGATCGACTCCCAGAGGCCGAGAGGAATACCACGTCACTCCTTCACCACATTCTCTCTCTCGGAAACTCTGGCTCCCCCAGCATCTCCAGCTACCTCATTGACTATCTCAACCACCCCGAGAGCAACGTTCAACTGACAGCCATTCTCGCTATGCGGTTTCTTATGCGAGAGCCTTCCGTCCAGAAATCTCTGAAAGACCTACTCGCACAACCACACGTGAACGAGGACCACCTGACTGTGATAGCCAAGTCTCTGGTGTATGGGTGTGAACGAGCAAAGATTAACTTTGAGGAAGCTCCTTTCTCCAGCGACTTTGCTGAAGCTCTAGTAGCACTAGCTATGAACATCCCCAATGAAGAACTGCACTCAGCTCTTTCCGAATATCTAAAAGGTGTCAACACACCAGAGTCCATCAAACTACTTCAGATCTTAAAGTTTCACCGAAATCCAGATTTTTTCGACGACAAAACAAACACAACGCGCTTCCGAAGAGGATCGACATGGGATGAAAGCAATCCAGACTACAACATTGTTTCACCGCTCTCAGTGCGTCGGAATGACGTTCAAACGTACCAGAATAGACTCGCATTCATCTGGGGTAAAAAGTTTGGCGGAGGAGATATAAATGCCCAAGTTGGGGCAGGTGGATTTGTTGGAATAGCCAACAACGGTGACTACAAGCTATTTGGAAATGCCGTAGCTAGAGCTAACTGCTACGATCGCTCACTTACCATCCTGCAGTTTTTGGTCTTGCGTGAGAAGGACTCCAGCTCAACGGAGAGTTGGTTCTACGCTGTCGTAATGGGGAACACTCTGAGGAACATTCGGCTATCACAAGACGCCAGTGTTTGCAAAACTCTCGATCACTCGCTTTACGAAGGAAAACAGTACACTATTTTCGACTTTACATACAGTATCTTTGTGGTAGTTGGCACCCTCAACTTTAATCTCAAGGCAACGGTACAGTTCACGTCTGGGATGTACATAGAGTTTTGTGAGAACCACGGAAGTCTGAGTGTTGGTGCTGGACTCAAACCTACCCTGACTATAAAAGTTTCGGCCGGTGGAGACCTGGAGATTCTAGTAAGTGCTTTTCTACTAACACAGTATCTTGTGTGAGCCAATCTTGATTTATGCAAAATAAATGTACCTTTTTAGTGGGTGGCCAAAGCCGGCTTCACACTGACGGCGACATTCAACTACCAAGTTCTGCCAGAAATCTCCAGCGAGCTGTGCTACAAAGAGTCACAGATAAGAGTGAAGAACTGCATCGGAATCTACCACCAGTGGGCGGACAATACACTCGAGCTGTACGCGTGGTATGCCTGGAGAGGATGGTGCGGTTGGTGGGTAAGTCACTCAAAGAAAATTAGGTTACTGATACGATTTTAACTTGAAGTGTAAGCGGTTACTAACATTGGACAAGGGAATGAAGTATAGTGTTTGCCTATATTTATAAGCTGCATTCTGAAGACAATTTTTACTGTGACTGATACAGAGGCTTTAACTTGAAGTGCTAACCTTGGATAAGTTAATGTAGGCTGAACACTAATTATACAAACTTGCAATATTAATGTGACTATGCTGTTTTCTATCTTCAGAGAACATGCACTGTTGTGACCATTTTGTTTCCCATTTTCAGGCCTGCACTGGTAGCGATGCTTACAAGAATAGGAACAAGATAAATGCTCTTTCTATCTCATGGGATCTTCCCGGAACAGACAAACTGACCCTGTGGGAGACCTGCGACCAGCAACATGAATGCTAAGCACAGAGGGAAAAGACGTGACATTGCGTGACTATTTTAGAAGTATAGAAAGACACTCAGGATAGGTTTTGTAGGAGATTTTCTTAATACTCAACATGATGTTGATTACAACACGTCAGCTAAATACTCCAAACACCTACGTTTCACAAGACTTGCAATATCAAATCACACTACCACTATAATAATTATGAAACCCGAATGATGAAATGACCGTCCTTTTGGTAGGGTGTAGGCAGATCATGTATACTACATAGATAGAGGCCTGATGGCGCATGCGCACATAGCATGATTGCACACTCCAGGTGCCAGACTGATCTGAGAGGGGGGTGCCATAGGCAATCAGATTAACCGAAGGGCTTTGCAATGCCAATGGATGAATATCAGTAGCAGTGATTGTTAGTAGCGACAGTGATGCAGAACTTTTTCTCCTACCCACCCACCTCCACATAAGGTCACAAGGCCAACGACACCACCTGTAAAATAACATACGTGTATAATTCCAGGTAAAAGTATATAAAGCAGCAGTTAAAAATCTCTTCTTCCCACTCTTTGCCCTATCAACTCCATATCCAGCCTGTAGTGATCCGTGTTTGTCTTTCTCTGCCTTTCCCCCCCTGCCATCCTTTCCCAACCTCCTCCCAGAAGATAGTCTCCCACTAGAGCAACGTCGCTGGCTTGGTGGGAGGGATTCAAATTCATTTGCGTTCTGCCCGTCCATTTCATCTTCAGCAGTGGCCTGGGTGAAGTGGGGTAAGGACTGGGTAGAGATTGTGGATTGTGTGCCACCATTTCCACTGTCCTTATCGCTGGATGTAGCTTCAAAAAGCTTCAAAAATGAAAAGCACTGAAGTGCAAACCCTCTACGCATTGTGACGCGCACGCGTGAGTAAACGCATGCGCTGTATCACTAATTGATGGGCTGGGTTTAGTTCTGGCGGTCTCTAGCCATCTCGCGCAGAGTCTGACGCGGGCTAACTACACTACTAGACAGCATGCGAGAGGCGATACACGCCCTGCGTTGTATCTTCTGGTGCCTCCGAGGTCGCAGAGCACGCGGATCCATCAGACCGCGGTACAAGCCGTCCCGTCCGTTGCGTATTTGCATTTTGGCTTTTTCGTGCTCTAGCTTTGCAACGGAGCATTTTCAGAGAAAACCGCCTTTCCTTTCTGACCTTCGTCGCCCGTTGGGTAGATGGTATCGTTTCTGGGACCAGCAGACGTTCGAGAAGTGAGATATAGAGTAACAGACAGACAGACAAACAGACAGTAGTTAACCCACGGCGCGCATGCGCAGCGAGGTTTACTGTAGTTGGGTTTGTCTGTCTGTGTCTGTCCGTCTGTCTGTTACTCTCAATCTCACTTCTCGAGTGTTTGTTCGTCTCACAAAGGATACGACCTACTGAACGGGCAATGAAGGTCAGAAAATAAAGGCGGTTTTCTCTGAAAATGCTCCGTTGCGAAGCTAGAGCGCGAAAAAGCCAATATGCAAATACACAACGGGCGGGATGGCTTACCACAGTCGGATCGATCCGCGTGCTCTGCGTACTTCGGAGGCACCAGAAGATGCAACGCAGGGTGTGTATCGCCTCTCGCGTGCTATCTAGTAGTGTAGTTAGCCAGCGTCAGACTCTACGCGAGCTGGCAAGAGACCACGAGTAACAGCTAAAACTAAACCCAGCCCATCAATTAGTGGTACGGCGCATGCGTTAACTTACGCGTGCGCGTCACAGTGCGCCGAGGGTTTGCACTTCAGTGCTTTTCATTGGATCTGTACCCTCGCTGCGCATGCGCGCCGAGGGTAATCAGTATACGGGCCAATATCTAGCTATATATACAAATACTTGATACGTGGCATTAGTTCTCCACGCGCTCATACGCGATTTTCCGATTTTCGTGACATCATCTTCTTTTTCTTCTTCTTCAGACCCGCTATCTCCTTACCGGAACAAGTTGCAGCGCTGATTTTTTCACAGAACGTCTCCAGGTTCCACGGAGGTGTGCACGGTCATCAAGCGATCGTTTCTTCATTGTTGCAAGTCCCTACGGTTGATCTTTTAGTTCCACCGTGGTAGACACTGAACGACGCCATTTCCTGCTAACTCAGCAGCACGCGCCAGGGGGCGTTGTGTCTGGATGCACGCGCAGGCCGCGCGCGTATGGCAAGCCGTTTGCACAGACGTCGACCTCACGTTCTAACGTCGACGTCTGCGCAATAACGACGACGTCCCACTGACGTCGACGTCTGGGCAACGACGACGTCCCATTGACGTCGACGTCCCGCTGACGGTAACCTCTAGGCAATAACGACGACGAGGGCACTAACTTCCGTGGTTGGACAGTTCGCGTTACGATAAGACGTCGTCGTTAGTGTCCACACATCGGCGTCAATGGGACCTCATCGTTAGTGCCCCAGACGTCGACGTAAACGGGACGTCGTCGTTGCCCAGACGTCGACGTCAGTGGGACGTCGTCGTTATTGCGCAGACGTCGGCGTTAGAACGTGAGGTCGACGTCTGTGTATGGTCGAATTTTGTTACAAACGGCTTGCCATACGCGCGCACGGGCATCGCTGCGGTTGATTTCGGGCTGTTGGTTTGCTCTGTAGTCAATGTGTGTTTCAGTGTCCCTGCTTACCCAACTTCATTTTGCTCTATAAAAAAGCTAGTGCATGGAGTGCATGGTGCTTTCTGTGTATATGGTCAGAGTGGTTCATAAAAATAATGGAAACAAGTGGAAAAATCATTTCTTCAAAATGAAGGGGGATATAGGGATGGCTCAAAGCACCAAAAAGGAAAGAACAACGGGATCATTTCACAGCTAAGACACACAAATCAACATGACACTATCCCTATACCTTTGTCCTATAGTTAAAGTACCCGCACGAGTACTCTAGTGAACGCGGAATGTGTTTGCCGCGCACACTCGCTCGCGGAGCCCCACCCCCTCATTTGCGTGCCGTGTTTTGTGGGCGGGCGTGGGCTGCCTGGCTACCTATGTACATGGCAAGGAGAGGGAGATGTGCTCAAAGCAGACAGAAAGCTGTCTTGTGGAAAAAGAAAATCAAGATATTAGTTATGTTGATCAACATTTTGTGTACAGATCATGTTTTGTGGGATACATTTCCTACACGAAATGCTGTTGAACTTGTTGAAAATCAACAGAAAAAAACAAGGTTTCATATCATGTTTTCATGTTACTTTTGTTAGCTCACGAGGTTCATATGAGAAATCAGGAACCTCGTACTAACAAATCTGATTGGTCGATTCGAATCAGCTATGCACTAATTATGATAGAGACAAATAAACTGTACTAACTAGGTAAAGCTAATACCCAGAGTGATAAAACTTCGTACACATATACAACCCATCATTAGTATCAAAATGTAAACATTACAATTTTGTAAACAACAACAAACAGCCTCAGGCAAATAAATGGTGCTTGTGCCTCTAACTTGCTTATGGTTGGTCCTCTAACAACGAAACTTGGTACAGTGATTCACCATGATAAAGAGAAAAACAAAAATTAGCTACCAGTTGTAAACAACAACAAACAGCCTCAGGCAAAAAAGACTTAATGGTGTAAGTGCCTATAAATTGCTTATGATGGGTCCTCTCACAATGAAACTTGGTGCATTGATGTAGCTAATGTGAATGACGACAAAACGTATGCCCAAAAATTGCGCACCATGCATGTGAATGCAGTAAAAAAGGAAAGGAGACAAGTAAATAAAACAATTCTTCGGATTAAAAAGGTTTGGAATATAGGGATGCCATGAAAAGCAAGGAGACAAGACAGGGATGACCCACAATGGATGATGGCTACATACTTTGAACTGACATCGCTTGCTCGTGTAAAATTTCCTCCACACAAGCCCTATATTGTCGCCACCTTTACTGTTTGTTTAGTGAAGTGCGAGGACAATGGTGGACCAGAAAACCTTTAATGTCACTCATGAATTTCCTTATTGGAGCTGCGTAAAACAAGTGGGGTGGTGTGGCCCTTAGTCTGCCCAAGTTTGGTGCAGCTAGTAACTCGACAGTTACCAACACAATCAGGGCTTAGGAATGGAGAATCTAACAGACAATCTTCTGTTTGGTGCGTATGTGCAGCTTCGCGTGTCCGATCTTAGACACGAGATGCAGCTCAATACTACGCGGAGTAAGCGGAAATACTATAGGCCTCTTAGTGCAGGTTGGAGGGCTTCAACTCCGCTTTTACTGGATAATATTCCAGAAACCTTCGTGATGAAGGGAGATTTGCAGGGCGTCCGTCGGTAGATGAAAACGTCCGATGTTACGTAATATCGGCAGTCGACCTTTTCGACGCGGCAACCAAAGCGCGTCAACACTCCAAACTTGGTACGAAGGATTGTCACTATAGATATAAATGATATTTTATTGTATGCTCTGGAGGCCTGTCCGATTATACATGGTGTCCGATCTTTGATGAGTTACTCTATTAGGCCGCATGCTATCTACTACTATAGGTAGTCCGTGTCAGACTCTACGCGAGCTACTAGCGTGGAGACCACGAATAAAAAAGCCCAGCCCATCGATTAGTGGTACCGCGCGTGCGCAGTTCGCCGAGGGTTTGCACTTCAGTACGTATCGGAGTGACTATAAAAGAGAGCTTAGCTATCAGTCGGTACCTGCAGTCAGTGGAACAAAATCTGCTGAAATGTGGACTACACTTCTTTTTGTAGGTGCAGCTCTGCTTGCAGCAGTAACATCTCCGGCTGCAAGTAACCCAACCTTTCAAGAGACCGGAGATTGCGAGGTGATTAATGTCCACCCATGTAAGCACCGTAGGTGCTGGTGCAGACAGCTTTCATCACCGGGTTATCTCAGATTACACATCCCACTCCCGGTAGACTTATCCTTTTTACTGTGTTCATTTCGACAGGCAACGCACGAGAATCTGTACAAGTACACTGCCAATGAGGAATACTTCGGAGACGAATATGCTCAAACCTTTGGGATAACCATGTACTTCAAAGTTTACTGCTTATCTGGTATGAATTTGTATGTGATGCAAAAAATGACAGTGATTAAAAAGTGCACTAACTTGCAGTTGGAACGTATGGAGACAAGCGAGCGAAAGAGTATGAGTTAAATGTCACCAAGGCAGAAGTTGGCGGAACCGTACTGGACACGGAGGAAACTGAGGAACAACAAGCACAGGACGATTACAATGTCCTACTGCAAGGATGGTTCCACTTTGTTCAGACGGAGGATGGATCAATTCCAATCATCCGTCATTCTAAAGAGGAAGATGGAGAGGTTATCAACACGAAAAAGGCAATTGTTGCAGCGTTCCAGGCAAACTTCATGGGAACAGAACAGAAGGAAGAAGCCGATCCCCAGTCACTGCATACATCTCACTACACGTACGTTTGCGGGCCATAAAATACTAGCCCAAACCAATATGTGCACGCATGCAAAACTTACGCCATTGGCGTATTGGCTATACCCTTTGCCTGTTTTGCGGAGACCTCGCAGAACTAGCAGCGTACGCTAAGATCCACGTAAACGCAAAGGCTAACTCATCCAACAATCCAGGCGATGCAGTACCTCCTATCTGTTCGTCATTTTCTCCAACTCCAGCAGCGCTGCCCGTAGGGCCGACGCGACGCGTTCACGTCACCATCAGCGTGTGTGCACATTGAGTCACTTCCGCCTAAAATATTCAGCGTGAGAATGTCCTGCGGCAAATATTCCCACATCTTGCAGCTACACCCTATTATTACCCAATATAGGTATGAAGTAAGTGCACAGGATGTGGAAAATGGTGTTCTTCAAATGCATCGCGCAGTAAATTCGGAGGATATTGAAGCCTACACCTCTCATATACCTGGTGCAGAGGTAGAATTGAGGAAAAAAGAAGACATTACCTACAAAAAGGGAGTCCTCCTTGGTGCAAGTGGAACAACAACTGTAAAACTCTTCGGAAAGGTATAGTTAACCCTCGGCGCGCATGCGCAGCGAGGGTTACGGTAGTTGGTTTGTCTGTCTGTCTGTCTGTCTGTCTGTCTATGTGTCGTGTGTGTGTGTGTGTATCGACGCTTATTCTGGCACTACAGGCTACGAGGCGGTCCATTAGCGATACCAGCGGCTTCAGGACTACGCGAGCCTGAAAAATAAAAGGGCGATATTCCTGAAACGTCGAGAGCGACAAACTGGCACGGTCGCGGACCGCGTTGCGTGGCCCTTAAGCGGTGCGCATGCGTATGCTGGCTCACCTCGACCTGATCCGCTTGCTCTGTGTACCTTGGAGGCACAAGAAGCCACAGCTAAGGGCGTGTATCGACTCCCGCATGCTATCTACTACCGTAGTTAGCCCGTGTCAGACTCTCCGCGAGCTACTAGCGGCAGACCGCGGGTAAACGCCATTAGCGGTACCGCGCATGCGCAGTTCGCCGAGGGTTTGCACTGTAGTAATA